AACTCCAAAAGTTCAAGATCAATTCATAAATATATATTAAAAAAATGATAAACTATTAAACACAGCATAAACGATAAAATCTAGATCTAAAATTAATTCTTAAAAAAAATCCATACAGCAATATATATTAAAAATGTGTAGTGTTTATGACATGATTATTTTTAATAGTCATCAATAATCTTGATTTTTTATGACCGGTCACTTTAAAAACAATGAGAAATTTAAGTTCTTATAAAATACTGAAATAAAAATAGATTTTTCCTATTGGGTTGCATTAAAGCTATAAATTTATAATTTATTTGAATTTGAATTTTGATTATTGATTAGGTTTTTCTGCAGTAGAAAGAAGCATATGAAAAATGAAATTTTGACGCGTGATAATTTTTGGATCTAATCTTCAAAGATTTAGTGTATTATGGTGCAATCCACCATCAAAAAGAGAAATTAAGAAAAATCAAATTCACTATTAATTTTCAAGATAATATTAAGAATCGACCGATTCTCAATCTATGATCCCAAAATCCTACTTGTGGAAACCAAATAACTTGCTTGTGACTTATGTAATTTTTTACTTTGCTGTTAAGAATGCTAAACAGAATGGTGTCCCGCTTTTGGCCCCACTGCATAGCAGGTCATGTAAATGTGTGGTTTGGCACCTTTATTTGAGATATTTTGGATAAAGTAATGCTTCTTTTTCAATAGAATGATCAATATACAGTGCCGGGTTAGATGACAAAGTCAATGAATTAGGTTTGATACTTATTATAATAATGGACCATGCTCTTCTGCCGAAAGAAGTATGATAGAGGGCCTGATTGATGGACCCATTTTGAGGTGGGACCACCTCTTCCTCCCAATTGTTTATTCATGCAAGGCCCGATGGCTATGAGTGAGTGTCAAAACTTCTGTCAAACATTCTTCTGTCAGAAGAGCATTTTCCACAATTTTATTACTCTTCACACATCGGATCACATGAGAATCTTCTCCAACAAGGATTAATAGCTTGAATTTGTCTAGTGGTACATAATGGGGGTATACCGAATGGTGTACACCCCACTCACATGGATGTGGGACCCATGTGAAAGAAATAATATTTTATTTGAGTGGGTCCCTCGTCTATGTGAGTGGGGTGTACATCATTAGGTACGATCCGATGTACCACTAGTAAAACCGTAAGAGCTTATTCTTTTAGATATGAGCATTAACAGCCAGTGTTTTTGTGCATTATTACATAAAATACGACTAGGAAGGGGAGTGATTTTGGCTTTTTTATTTCCAAATGTTCATTTTTCTTGCACGGACAGGATTATTTTAAAATCACAAGACAAGATTGAAGCAGTTAGGGTGAGTGTGGGTCGGTAGCACCCAAAATAGAAACTGACCAAATCAATTTGGTGAAATTCAAAACCAAACATATCAAAATCTTCTACCAAATTGAACCAACCCAACACAATTCGTTTTGAATGTTTTAACCATATATTTCATCATTCACATCAATTTATAATTTTCAAAATATTTGTTAAACAAGGACAAAGCCGGTAAATAAATCTTAAAACCAAAAGAAAATTAGGATCATAACTTCATTAAGTTTCTTATGCTGAAAAATCATGTGATTGAACATTTGTTGAATGTTACCATTTTTAATTATTTTAATTTTAAAAATCAAGTCCAATTGTAATATAATTTAAAGAGTAGTGTTATTTATAAAATTGCTAACAAAATTCCGCCTATGCGGTAGGGAGATCTCTATAACATTCACCAATAAAATTGGGGTACATTTTAATTATTGAAAAATGTGACAGTGACCCTACTGTTATATAAATTGTTGGTTGTATACAATGCTTACAAACCGCATTATTCTAACTTTAAAGACCATTTCTCTCATTTTTCTCTCTTGTTTCTTATTTTTTCTTTCTCATTCTATTATTTTTCCTCTCCTATTAAATAGATTTAAGTTTTATAGATAATTTAATTATTCGTTAGACTTCAATGTCATGTGAAAGGAAAGTCTTTTTATTTATCTTCCACGTAGACCGCACTCCATAGAATGCATTGAAAGTACTCTCTCAATCATGTTAAGAGAGATTTTTTTTTATGTTCCATCAAAATAGGGAATAAAAACTTTTAAAGTAACTTAATTGAAGAGAGAAAATTTAATCTTATGAAATATCACCATTGTTATTTTTTTATTAAAAAAAAAGTATTATATTATACAAATGCCTGATCTTTTAAAATATTTCAAACTACCTTATTCCTTAAAAACTCGCTTAAATTTTTTTGGACTAGCTAGTTAACATACCAAATTTCCCTTATAAAGTAATATTTTTAGCCCCTATTTGATGCCTATTATTTGGCAAAAACAAAGTTTTGAATGGTCAAATTTTGGAGAATATGTAGTTAAAAAGTAAGAAAAAAATTTGAATTTACATGAAACGTATTTTATTGTGTGAATATATGGTTAAAAATTAATATGTGAAGAACAGAGCTTAGTGTGCTTACATAAAGATTTGAATCTCAAGGGCATCTTTCTAATGAAAGCCAACTATCTTTTTGTGATAGACGTAACTTTCTGCTTTGTTGGCATTAATGCTAAATGAACCATGTTAGATGAATAGGGTCACGTCGGCCCTGTTCATCCAGGCCCAGCCTATAGAGATACTCTACATCATCCTGACCATGTTCAAACAACTTATACAATGCGAAAGGAGTGATTTTCTACTTCTGGTCCCACTTGGTAGCAGATCGTGAATGTGTGGTTTTGACACCTCTATTTGTGATGAATGTCTTGACAAATTACGTCAAAGGTTGAGTTGAGAAGTTCTAGGCTAACATGCAAGAGACCGGGGGTCGGAGGATAGCGTGATGGAGAGAGAGAGAGCGCACGCGCTAGGCTAGGGTTCAATTGACGCGAAAGAATTTAGGTCGACTCTATTTCTGATTTTTGATTTGTGTTTCAGTTTTTCTATATTTTAGATATTTTAGGTTTAAATGATAAAATATAAAAAACAAATTATAACGAGGGCAAATCTGGTTGGTTTTGATTGCTAAACCCATAACCCGAACTAATTTACATGTAAAACTACTCGACCTATACCATAAGTAAATCATAAACTAACACAACCCAACCCAAGTCGGTTTTGATCGATCAATTTCATTGAGTCCACGTTTATCATGCTTACCCTAGAAGCAGCCAATGGGTTCTCATTGATGTTAATTTCATTGACCCCAATTATGAAAACTAGCAAGACTTGAGATCTACTTTAAAACATCAACCTTATTTAGAGAAATTATTCAAACTCTTATATGTTGTTTAATGTATTTTTATCTATTGGATATGGGATTTCTTCCTCGACAAAAACAACAATCCCTAAACAATGACAAGCCCAATTGATTTTCTTGCACACTTTATGGTGTGACAAACTTCCGGTATCAAAATAAATAAAGAGTTTATGTCATGAATTTGAAGGGTATAATAAAACAAAGTCTAAAAGCATGTTTCAACCCCGTTTATACAATGTTTAAATTATAAATAGATATAAAAAAAAAATATGGTAATAAGTGTGTAGTACTTGTGGATCCCTTTAAACATGTAGATAAAAAATACTTGAGTATTATAAATTGTTTATAACAAAAAATAAGTTAAATGCATTTTACATGCCTTTTTGATTTACAATTTTTAAATATTAGGAACTAGCAACCATTAATTGTCAATGTTCAGATTGTCACACTGTTTATTTAAGTCACTTATATTTACTTTTGTTTCTAAACGTTATTGTTTAAATTAGCTGTAAATATAATTAAGAATGAAAGTTGAAGACGAGGAGCATGATAATGTCCATAAGTTAGAGGTGTTAAAATGGGCGACTTCAACTTGACTCAGCACAATCAATAGGCATGTTGGGACCAGCTCGGACCCTTAAAATTTAAATGGACTTGGATCGCCTATTATGCAATTTTTGAAAGTGGGCCTGTCCGCTCAAGTTGAATTGAACCGTACTTTTTGTTTTCTATTAAATTTCACGAGGAAAAACAAAAATGAATTTCTCATACCTTATGTTTAATAGATTCAAATATTCAAACCAAAATAAGTTGTTCTTTGAAGAGTTTCAAGACGAAATTAATTTTGTACCTTGACCTTCTTTGAAAATGATATGGTTTGGCTCTCCCTTATGATTTTATTTATTTTAGTAATTTCTAGATACATTGCATAGTCCCATGATCAATCGAGACCCTGAATTCAAAGCCCGAACCATCCCACTCCGGGCTAATTTTGGGCCGGTTACCAGTACAGCCTATTTATTCTCAATACTTTTGCATGGTAATGCCTCGTGTCTATATGAAAGTATATGTCTTGCATTTCCTCATATTGTTTGGAGGGTTTTTCCAAGTAATTTTTTTTTTTTTTTGGAGAATGTGTTGTTAAGAATTAGAAAAATGAATTACGTGTCTCATAAAATATGTAGTTGAAAATAATTAAAAAAATAATTTTATAAAAATCTCTCTAAACAATCTCTAAATTGAAAAAGGGTGTAAATTTAAATTAATATGATGAAAATGGATAATATGGCATGTCAGAATCAGTAAGATGGTGGGTGTCTCATTTGCTTCCACCATCTTTGACTAAGAAATACAATTCTTTCCAGTTTCACCAACTCTTTACCAAACCCGATTGCCACGTGTCATTTCTGTATTTGTTAATACCCTGTTTCCTACCACCTTCCAACCAATAATGTATCGACACGCTCGTGACACCTAATTCAGTACCTACAGTGCATCCGGGCCGTGAAATTTAATCTTCTTAACGTCATAAAACGAAAATCAAACAATAGTTGGCCGAATACTGGGACCCACTTAACTACTTTTTTTGGGCCCACACTGACCACGTCTTAGGAATTTCACCAACCCCCGACCGGGTTGGCAGGCGGTCCATCTCCAACAAACGCAAAAAGAAAAACACCACCGGTCTGAACCGGCTCCTGTATCCATCTATATATAACCCTTCAGTACCTCTCTTTCAATCTCAGGGACACAAATAACCACAACCGCAGGAAAATTTAGAAAAAGGAGAAAATTATTCAAGAAAATGGCAGAAAACAGGCACCAAGAGGTTGGCCACAAGAGCCTTCTGCAAAGTGATGCTCTTTATCAGGTACACGAATACTCGATAAGATTAAACAATAAAATTTACGGGATTTTATCTCAATTTCTCGTTTAATCCGAATTTTGTCCATGTGGGGGTATTTGATTGAATTTTTTTTTTTTGTTGCTTTAGTATATTCTTGAAACTAGTGTGTACCCAAGAGAACCAGAGGCCATGAAAGAACTCAGGGAACTGACTGCCAAGCATCCCTGGTGAGTTTCATTATTCGAGTTCGTCTCTCGGCCCAGTTCAACGTAATAAATATGTCATCAAAGCTGATATTAAATTGTGGATATAGGAACATTATGACTACCTCTGCTGATGAAGGTCAGTTCTTGAACATGCTTTTGAAACTGATTAACGCCAAAAACACAATGGAAATTGGTGTTTACACCGGCTACTCTCTCCTGGCCACTGCCCTTGCAATTCCGGATGATGGGAAGGTGCTTAATTTATTTTATTTTCAAGAATACGAGCAACTCTTTTCAAAATCTCATTCAGAAGATATCAACTATATTGAAAATATTCGTGAAACATGGGGAACTAAGGCATTGAATTGGATAATTCATTAAAATTAATTGATTTTGTGGGTTTTGATTGATGCAGATTTTGGCAATGGATATTAACAGAGACAACTATGAATTGGGTTTGCCCGTAATTGAAAAGGCTGGCGTTGCCCACAAAATTGACTTCAAAGAAGGCCCTGCTTTGCCTGTTCTTGATCAAATGATTGAAGACGTAAGTCTCACCAACCCCACTAACCTATTTTCCTTTTCCTTTTTTTAACTATGCTATAGATAAGTTCAAAATTTTTGACTTATTTTCGATCTGTCCCGAACTTATTTTTGAACAAAACAAAAATGAATAATAGCACTTTAAACGATCAACATAAAATTTTATCGTAATTACACCTTATTATATGGACGGAAAATGATCGATTCTTGTTTGATTAATTTTTTAATTTGACTTTTTCTATGTGTGCATTACAGGGAAAGTACCATGGAACATTTGACTTTATATTTGTGGATGCTGACAAAGATAACTACATCAACTACCACAAGAGATTAATTGAACTGGTTAAAGTGGGAGGAGTGATCGGGTACGACAACACCTTGTGGAACGGGTCTGTGGTGGCCCCACCTGATGCACCATTGAGAAAGTATGTGAGGTACTACAGGGATTTTGTACTGGAACTCAACAAGGCTTTGGCTGCAGATTCGAGGATCGAGATTTGCATGCTTCCCGTGGGTGATGGAATTACCCTGTGCCGCCGCGTCAGCTGAGCACTTCATGAAAAATTATTATTATTAAGTTTCGTTTTTATTTTAAATTTGTAACTTGTTTTTGTACTTCAATTTGGATGAACAAAGAAATCTAATTATCCAAAAATAAACATTATTTTCTATCAACATCAGGGTTGCTTTGGATTCAATTTTGAGTGCTTTCTTGTCCCACTCCACCCACCTACTTTTTTTTTATGAAAAATATAATTAAAAATATACCTAGGGATTTGATGATGACTTATCATCAACCAAATATAAAATTATATTGCAAAAATAAATATCACATTCTCAACAAACACATGTTATAAGAAAATGGAGAAAATAAGTGGAAATGACTCTTTGACTAACTCTTATTTTCACATTGATCCTTGGCCAATTTTAAAAAAAAAAAATTATAAAAATATTTTAGATAAATAAATGGACAAACTTTCATATTCGCCCTCATCTTCAACAAGCAAGCAAGATAGGGAGAAAGAGATGAGGAAAAAAAATCAAAAGAAAAAAGAAAAAAAAATCTAAAAGTCACACAGTTGACTGTTAAGGTTGGATCCCATCGAGCCCGAAATCACCACCACCACATTTCTTAGAACAATGTTAGAATTTTTCTATATCTAAGCTTTTGATTTTCCATTTGAATTTTTTTGTGAATTTGTGGATTATATGTTATTATTGATGTAAATTCTTCATCATTGATGATATAATGGTTGTTGAACTAATTGGGTGGGATAATATGGGTTTAGCTCGCTTGGAAATAGCGATCTCGCCATTTTCGAAGAGACAGTCGGCTAAGTCGACTGTTAAAGTCAGCTTAGCCGACTCTTTTTTTTCCTTTATTTTTTTAATTTCTTTTGTTTTTATTATAATTTTTTAAAATTGTTTTTAAAGACTCTTTTTTTTTTCAATTTTTGTTTTTGATTTCTTTTGTTTTTATTATAAAATTATAAAATTGTTTTTAAATTTCTTTTTTAAATTATTTTTAATTTCTTTTGTAGTTTGATTTAAAATTATTTTTAATTCCTTTCATTTCATGATAAAACGTAATTTTTTCAATTTAAATTAAATATTATTTATTTTTAATTTTAAATACTTTATGATAGCTTTTTTTTCCCATTCCTTTATCTTTTATATTTTTTCCTTTCTTTTTATTTCTCTTTTTTTTTTCTTTTTTTTCTTTTGTTTTGTTTTTATTATAATTTTTTTATAAATTGTTTTAACCAATGAGGAAATTTCTTTTTTTTTCTTTTAATTTCTTAATTTAAAATTCTTTAATTTTAATAATTTCTTTTTGTTTAAATTTTATATATAATATTTATATTATAGATAATATTGTAGAATAATATTAATTATAGAATAATCTTTCAAATGATTCTACGTCTTGCGTATAGTAGTTACGATTCGGTTCGTGTGATTTTCTGTTATTATGCTTTATTCCATTATCTCTTGTACAATTTTATAATATTTCGAATTTTTGCAGGATAAATTATCATCTAAACACAGAATTGAGACATATGCCACGCAAGCTACTGTGGAACAGTAGTCTTGACAGTTTTACCACTATACTGGAATTGATCGACGATCAGCATGCAAATATGCTGCGGCAGTCCTTTCTATGGCCCCTGTACCAGTTAAGAGATGTGTAGTACTCAGGTCAGATCATCTATTCACTTCTATGTCAGTTACTGAGTCCAATCGACGGAGTTGCTCTCCACTTTAACCTTAGGGGCAAAGTCATAGCTAGTGACGGGTCTCAGAAAAGAAATAAGTTGCAGTACGCTTACTTTCACGGACAGAGGATGGTGAATTTGCCTTAGCTGATCAACACAATCAAGAGGTGTGACTAGATGTTAGACAGGCTAAAGTTAGGTCTAGTCTATATCCTTGAGAGCGTGGTACAGTGTCACCACAAGAAGATTGCGATCGACCTCTTCCACCTGAAGATCGTCAACGACATTGATCGCTTCAACAACTATTTGTGGGGTTGGAAATGTTTCGAGGATACCGTACACATCTTCACCATATCACATTCGAAGAGGAGGAGGTTTGTCGATGGGATGTACCCCAATCTGTTCCGGGAGGTCGATCATGCCAAATGGAAAGCAATTGAAATTGAGTGGCAAAAAATATTGCCTGAGTAAGAATAGTATGATTTTAGCATAGTACGATACCTCGTACATGCTTCGTTTAACATTTTCTTTGTTTTTCAAAGCCAGTAGCGAGATAGCCCGAAGGACGATATATAACGCGTATAAGTTGTTCCACGATATTACCACTCAATGGGCTTAGCTCGCCGACGATGTAAATAAAGTAGTGATATTGTTAATTTTTTTATACATTATGTTTGGTTTGGTTTATTAAATGAAATAACTCCTTTCTTTTGTTTTCTTTGATGTATATTCACGATCGTTCCATATTCTTGGCCAATTAATATTGAACACCGAGTTCTTCCGTGTCGTTATCTTAAGTATCAGTTGCTTCGGATTATGGGTAACCAGAATACGGTGCCCAAGTATATGCTCGAGTGGGTCATCAGCCAGCTGCCGAGTGTCAAGGAAAAGTCATGGGAGAATTGTACGCATATGTACATTCTAGTAATCATGAATCATCACTGCATTTGCTCTGGAGATTGTATTCGTTGACTCTACGATATATGTGTATGACCCAGATCATTCGTTTCTGACACAGCGACAGCTCGAGCTAAACTTAGAACCGGTGGCTGTGATCGTTCCTCTGATGGTTACACAGACGGGATTTACTGTATAGGATAGACTAGCCATCGTGTGGAACACAACGACGGCGAGACAATCCATATCGTAAGTGTTTGTAAATTTAAAATTAGTTTTTATGTAATTGGAATCGATCTAACACATTATTGTTCATTGGTAGTAGGGACTGTGGCATTTTCGCAATCAAGTACATTGAATTTTTTAGTATAGCACATAAGATTGATGGAATCAACCAATCATTGATACAGAATTGACGAAATAAGTTAGCGTGCGACTTATACGAATTTAATGGTGATCCACAAATTATTTGTAATTATTCTTGTTCGTAATTATTTTATAATTATTCTTTGAATTTTTTGTAATGTACGTACAATTTTTGAAATTATTATTCTTTGTACATTGAATTTTTTATCATATGAAACAATTGCTTATTAAATTACAACGTAGTTCGAAATATCATAAAATAAATGTAAATACTGTTTATTTCGGATCGACAACATTATAAAATGGTCTAACTGTCATTTAGGGGAACCTGACTTGTACAAAATTGATGAGTTTACCTTACTGATTTGCACATGCTTCATCGACGTGGTCGAGAAAATTCTACGATAGATGGTATTCTAGACGTACTTGAACGTCTAGACCACGCAGTTTAATGAGAGGTGGGGACAATGTATTGAGTGGGCAAATATGGTCGAGAACCTCCCACTCGACTTCGTTTGACAGAGGAAATATTGTCTCAACAAACGCAGCTCTCCAATATTAAGTCGTGTAATGATGAGAGCACAATGATCTCGCTACAAATCCTCGATACAAAGCCACCGCGACTGCATGCTCACATGAAAAATTCTCCAACAATTTTTTTTTTACAAGTGCATGTATCATCAATCAAGTTTACCATGTATGCCGTATTACGTGCATATTCCACGGAGAAGCGTGATTCGTCCTGTGGTTCGACATTCAACTATCTCACAAGTTCTGCAACCTTGAATAGCCTTTTCGCTTATTTAGGGGTTAGCATGCTCGTGCAATTCTGTGATTTCACACGTCCATCATGAAACCACTGCTGCAGCTTGGTACTGATAGTCTCAATCAGTGAAGGGATAGGTAATTCTCGATCCTTTTTGAATAACGCATTGAGAGACTCCGTATTGTTTGCTGTCATTTTGTTGTATCGACGTTCTAAAAAATACAAGCACCCCCAATGTTCAATTCCCATTTTCGTTAGATAATCCTCATTAGATAATCCCATGCCTGAAATGATTATATCCTATTTCAACCATGAACTTATTACACTCTTCAACACTATAAGCTTTAGTCGCTCTCCTAATCAATGAAACGATACATTTGCCTCGATACCTGGTCTTCGGGTTGCCTTGTATATGGTACATGCAATATCTATGATGTGCATCGAGAAATATTTTAGCAATACGATTTATTAAAGACGATCCTTGGTCGATTATAAATGCAAGGTCATTCTCACTATCGACTATGTCGAATGCAAGAGGTTAAATTTGGATGTTGGCATCTTGAGATGTAGCAATAATGAACTTGCCTTGATATTTAGATTTCAGTGTTGTACCATCAACAAGAATTAGAGGTTGCATATCATTTCGAAATCCACAAGTGCATTGTCCAAGAACCATAAAAAAGAATTTGAAGCAATTCTTGCCCTTGTCTAAAAAAATGATGAGTCAGGACTAGCTTTCTCCATGTTATGGCAATACCTGGCCAATTTAGCGTAGTTTTCCTTTGTCGAACCCATTAAATCCTCAAATGTGCATTATTTGGCCTTTCAGATGTATTGGTAGCTCAAGACTACTCTGTACTCTAGACGGACGTAGTTAATGATGTCCGATGGTCTGTAAATCATCCGCGGATCCTAATAGTTATGCATTATCTGTCGTCCAATAAACTAAGCTCGGATTGCCTATGATCATTTCGACATATTTTCACTTTACAAGTATGTTCTCGTGTATACTTGCGAAATACAAAGCACTCATTCATATTCATCTTAGTCGCTCGCAAACGCCAACAACAACTGGCATCTATGCAGGCGATCGTCAACAACGACTTGTTCGATTTTTTCACTCTGAACTTAAAGTTGTATTTCAGTGTAATTAGATGCACAGCTTCCTACAAATCTTTTTTGTTTCAAACAGTTGCTCGACATACAAATCATCACTATCGGGAACCACACGCGAGGAGTTAGAGGACGGTTCACTCGATCCAACCCTTGAGGTCCCACCTCGCTCATATCTCTGTCGGGATAAAGCGATCAAATTCTCATTTGTAAAAGTATTTATATTTTCACACCCGTTGTCATGAACTATGAAGGGAATTCTGTGCGTATCTATCTTTGGAATAAATACATCATTTTTCACAAGCTATCTGGACTGTATCCCAAAAATCATAAGCATTGT